CAAAAAACATCGAAGCTGCTGCTGCAAAGGATGTCCTTCCTTTGGTCTTTAATTCAGAGTTTACACATGCTGTGCTCTCTTTATGAGGAATGGCTGTGGTGTGGACATTCTTCTATCCAGCTCTCTGAGAGAGGCCAAAAGGCATTTCTGAGATCGTAGAGTACAGCTGTTATCTTCCCTTGATGAGAATGCTCCTTAATTGGTGTTTGGGGGGTTTTAGTCACTTATAAAATGTCTCAAAGGGACACAAAAAAGTGTCCACACCTGTATGTTACTGTGAGCCAACAGAGCTTGCAGTCCAGAGTCTGTGCTCCTGTACATCCCTTCCCCACTGCCTGTCCCTGGGGAAGATGCAGAGTGGCCATTGCCTGAGAAGGCTGGCACTGCTCTCCTGCTGGTGAACTGGTCAGGTGTTCAAACCCTAAAATGGCCTTACTGTTTCTGGGTAAGGGGGAGGAAGGTGAGGGGCAAAAAGGCATCCCTCCCAGCAGGAATGATCGCTGCATGACCCTGACTTGTGAGAGCCCAGAGTGAAGGGAGTTTTCAGAACTGAGATGCAGACACAGTAACCTTAGATGAAGCCATTTACCAAGTTTGCTGTTATTATGCATGGTACAAACAAACAAAAAATAAGCTTCATCGCAAGTGTTTGAAGGATTTTAATTTTTAAAAAATCTCAGTCTGCTGGTTTTTCTTGTGTATTTCTGAAATGTTGAAGAAAATTCCTTTTTCCATGCAGACTGACTAGATATCCCAGTCCTCTAGAGCTTACCATGTGTGTTATGTGCAACCATTCCAACGTGGGGAAGCATCATGCATAACGAGAGAGAGAAATTAGAAGTTGTGCATAACAGAAAACACAATGACTCTTACCTTCTATCCATTTTGCCATCTGACTCTAAAGTGAGAAGAGGAAAATGTGGTTAGTTGAGAAGCAAGAAACAGAGTGGTGATAAGCCTACACAGAATTTGTGAGGAGGCTACAAGGAGTGCATAGTTACAGCTGGTAAAGATCCAGCCATCCTTTCTGAGGCAAAACTCTTTGATATTAGTTGTGTCATGCAACTTTCCTAAAGCCCTTCTTCATTCTTCCAGCTGGAATATCTCATGACAATTTCCTCAGAGCTGTGTCTTAGCTAATACTTTGTCTGGTTTGAGTGTGGTTGTAGCATATCCCCAAGGTATAATGAGAAACAACTTTGAAGCTGAAGAACTTGGTTATAGTGAAATGCAAGTCTGCAGTTCTAGGCAGTCCAGCAATTCAGACACTTTTAAAATAGTTCTTCACAGGAAAACCAGAGCTGTTGCATGTACACAATTCTAACACTGAAGCTCAGATGTGCTGTATCAGAAGAGAGCTAGATCTATGGAAAAAGGGATCAGGAGTATTTTTTTCTTACCTCCAAAGTCACTGTCATTCATTTTGGCTTTGATCATGCAGATTATAACTGCTATAAAACCGATTGCTAGAACTGCTCCCAGAGTAACTCCTATAATAACATATGTGTAATCTGCAAATAGTAAAAACAAATCAGTAAGTATACACCTTTAAATAATAAATACATTTTTTGAGTTTCGGATGTAACACATCCCTTAAAAAAAAAAAAGCTGAGCCAGAGTAGGTGGCTGATGAGAGTCTGAGTCTGTTCTTTAAAATCCCTGTGTGCAATGGAGCCATGTGAACCTGTGGCTAAGGGGCTTGAGGGTGTTTTATGATAATGAGCAGCTTCAGCTTTTGGTGTGTGCACATCTCAGCTGGGTTTCAGAGCCAGGACTTTACTTTAACCCAAAAATAAAGTCCCCCATCCACACTTCTTTGCCAATCTGCATCCTTCCAAACTGCTATTGCTACTTCCAGATATGCACATGCACATATCCACCTCCCAGGCCCTTGGCTCCTGCCTTGCCCAGCTGTTCTGCCTCTGTAAGTCTTTGCTGGGAGGAAGGGGAATTTGAAAGTGTAAACTATGTGCTGTGACTTGGCATCACTGTGTGTACATGAGGGTTGTGTGTCAGGCAGGGGGTGCCTGTGTTCAGGATCTCAGTCCCATGCTCTGTCCTCATACACATCATTTAAAGTGCCAGTCACGTGACAGGACTCTGCAGCATAGGCAACTCCAAACTCACAGTGTTTATCTTCTACACCTAAAAAGTATAAGAAGTCTTCTAATGGCATTCAGTTTTGTTATTTTGCCTCCGGCTTCCAGTCTGGAATTGAAAAACCCACCATGAACTCACCTATTTCCTCCTCTGGGTTTCCAGAAGCATGTACCTTTGCTCTCCAAAAATCTGGAATGGAAATATTTTAGACTGTTAGGACATTGATCAGAATGCCATTTCTGGCTTTTTCCAAGGGGACAGTTGATTCTAATAAATCCAAGGGTAGAATCCTAGGCTTCCTGCAGTAGTGAAATGTTGTCAGTCAAGTTAATGAGGGCATCCTAGAAATGTGGCCACACTGTGCCTGTTTTTGACCAGAGGAGAAAATACAATTCCAAAATTTTACGTTGCCTTAGCACTGTTTTCATTCCATGGTTTTGTCACTGCAAGCCAGAGAGCTGTATGCAAGAGAAGCTGCTATAAATCAAGGAAAAGATTACAGATGCACTAAACCTAATAAAACATGCTAATAAGTGAGGATATGACATAGCCCAACACCACTTTTCTCATGAATCCCAATCCTGCCTGGAGTTCCAGTCTTCAGAATGTGATTTATTGCTGGCAGAGAAGAGTCTTTTCCTCTTGCAAGCAAATTTTGTGGGCTGGAAACAAACCTTTCCAGAGAGTTTCACACCAAGTTCCCTGTTCATTAAAAGGAGACCTCCTGGCTCTTCCCTGCTCCATAAAGCCACTGAGCCATGGTACCTGATGCTCAGAGTGTGCAGGCCCTCAGAATGGAGTGGCTTTGAAGAAAACAATTCATTCCCACATACTTTAGGAAGAAAACAGAATCAACATGTTTAAAAAAATGAGAAAAAGGAGAGGACGTGTTTAGTTTTAATGTTGCTTGGTTATTATAGGAAATTGTTAAAAACATACACTCAAATGTTTTTTCATTGCAAGGACATTTCCACCAAGGCCTTTTCAGGTAGCTCCAAAGGATGTAACTGATGTGCAGCTGCATGAGGTGCTGGGCCATGGGAAGGCTTTAAAGGCAGGTATGACTCCTGCACTCTAACCCTGTGTGCTGCTCAGCTCCTGCCGCCTGCACATGCTTCAGGCACAGCACAAAGTCACTGCTCTTGGGCAGGGTGACAGTACAAGGGGCACCTGGTGGGGACACGCTGCTTTGCACACAGCATCACCTTTTCACCGGCATTCCCCACCGTGGCAGGGAACTGGGAGGGAATATTGTCTGGCTGAAACCCAAGCAAAATTTCAGTGTCTTAAATGCAGGCAGTTTTCCTACTGCTACTGTCCTAGTGTTGGACACAACATTTTAAATCCCAGCTCCTCCCCTCCACTTTCTGTGGAGAACGAATTTTATTTTCTTGAGGTTTTAGGGTCTGTACTTTCATTTGTTGTCCAGTAAAATGAATGCTAGAAAATTTTAAGCATGAAGCATAGACCTTGCATTAGAAAACAAGGCATTTTGGTGTCTTTACAGAAATAATCTTGTGTCTGCTTTTCAGACTGCTAAAACTCTTGAGCTGAGTGTGGGCCCTGGGGCTTCCGGGGTTATGCCAAAAAAAACCTGATATACTGGGTGGCTTAAAACTGATTTATTTTTCTTTCCTGGTCTTAATCACATTTCTATTCCCAATTTTTAATAAATTATAAATCAAGCTTCAGAAATCTGGAGAAAAGCTTAAAAAAATCTTGAGTTTTAAAGCAAATATATTTTGGGAACTAATTCAGAGCTGAATTTTTTTTTTTTGGTTTTTTTGCCAAACTTTTCTACATAATGAAAATGTCTGGAAACTTATTTTGTACAAGCAGAAATGTTTTCTCTCCAAAATCTCCATAACACTCAGAAGAGGAGTTGTAAGGAGTAGAGAATCGATGCTTATACTGGCTATATGAAATGACCAAAGTCAAAGTTATAAAAATAAGGAAATTTAAAGAGAACAAAAAGCTTTAAGGCTACACAGTGGGCACAAAAAGCATAGCTTCTAGTTTTTTCCATATTAAAAGGTAGTCTTTTTGCTCTCGCCTGTGATTTTATTTCATTATAAATTTAAAAAAAAACACCTTTCTTCCATCCCCTTAATTATTCTTTGTGCTCATATGAAAAATGTTTTAAATTCAAGCACAATAAAAGTGATATTGTATTACTTTTATTATCCTAATGATCATAATACATAGACCTTAATGTATGCTTTCTAATGGAATTAAACCAGTGACAGATTATGTGTTTTATGGCAGAAATAATATTTTACATGGAATATTTTATGTAGGTCCGTTTAATATATTGAGATTAAATTATTAGTTTCTTTTTAAAAAGGGAGGAAAATTCCTGAAAACCCACAAGACTAAAGAGAATATTTTCAATTCATTCTTGCAATATGCTTTTAATTAAGTTTTAATATCATTTGCTGGATGCTGCTTAAATACTGTTTGCTTTCAAAGACAATGTTAGGTGGATTCTATTTGTTTCAGTTTTTTCTTGGCTGCAAATAGGTGGACTAATTAATTCAAATACACAATTTTCTGTTTGATCTTGATCTTATCTGCAATTTAGATCTTTTGGGGACATACAAAAACCTTCCATTTGGGGGGGTTTGAAATGATGGCTTAAACTCTGCCGTGCTCTAGTCCCAGTGCTGGGTTTCTGACTCTCTCTGTAGAGAGTTTAGACTAACACTCAAGTCTTGAATAAACCCTCTGGACTTGCAGAGTATTTGCTCCTGTGGAAGAGCCTAGCAGATGAATTTGATACCCAGGCTTGAGTAACTTGTGGATCATTTTTCAAAGAGCCTCGAAGCCAGTGACGGTGCTCTTTGCCCTGTGCTGTCCTGGCTCGGGCACGGTGTGCAGCTGGCACAGGCTGGGGATGTGCCCCCGGCTCTGGCAGCACCAGGAGCCTGCTGAGACACCGGGCTGGGACTCCAGCCGCTGGGGAACATCTTGGTGAGTGTGCTGCTGGCAGGCGAGGCCGCAGGCTGGATGGGCCCTGCTTACAGGTGGGGGCATGGAGAAAGAGGAACAGAGAACGTGCCGGGGGAGGGTGCTGGGTGAGCTGTGCTGGAGCCGGACTCTCAGTGGGGAAGCTCTCCCTGCCGGCTGCAAACACTCTGCAACACGGAGTACAGCTCTGTAACACAGAGTACAGCTCTGTAACACGGAGTACAGCTCTGTAACACAGAGTACAGCTCTGTAACACGGAGTACAGCTCTGTAACACGGAGCATCGCTCTGCAACACAGAGTACCACTCTGCAACACAGAGTACTGCTCTGTAACACAGAGTACAGCTCTGCAACACGGAGTATTGCTCTGCAACACAGAATATCGTTCTGTAACACGGAGTACTACTCTGCAACAAAGAGTACCGCTCTGTAACACAGAGCATTGGTCTGTAACACAGAGTACCGCTCTGTAACACAGAGCATCACTTTGGAACACAGAGTACGGCTCTGTAACATGGAGTACAGCTCTGTAACACAGAGCATCGCTCTGTAACATGGTGTACCGCTCTGCAACATGGAGTATCGCTCTGCAACACAGAGCATCATTCTGTAACACGAAGTATTGCTCTGTAGCAAAGTATTGCTCTGCAGCACAGAGTACCGCTCTGTAACAGAGTGTCACTCTGCTGCTGTGGTTACCCTCTGCGAGGTGGAGCTGCTGAGCACGCGATGGAGCCGCAGATAAACTCGCTGAGCTGGGAGCCTCCAGTCTGTGATCTCGGTGTAACTCTGGGCAGTCAGCCCCCCGCCAGACCTTGCTGCACACAGAGCTGAGCCAAGCAGAGAGCAGCCTCTGTGTCACACTGCTGTGCCCAGGCTGTCTGTGACAGCTCTGCTCACCCGGTGCCTTGCCCAGAGGTCAGCTCAGCCAGGAAAATGATGCAGAATGCAATTTGGGCATAAAACCAGGGAGCAGGAAGAGCTCAATTTCCCCACCGGATTAGGTATTGTAAACCATTCCCAGCCATAACCTACAGTGGTAAACAGCAATACAGTGTGCCTCATCTTTCTAAGTACACAGCATTTGCCTTAGTCCCTTTGCTTGTTACTCCTGCTTCCACGTGACTTTTCCCCCTTCCTCCAACAACTCATATTTCTCCTCATTGCAGCAGATAATGGCTAGTCCTGTGGCTTTGCAGCAGCCAGGAGCTCACAGCCATTTACAATTGAGGCAGCAAAAAGAAAAGTAAGCAAATCTCTGGGAACTGCAGAGGCAGGGTAGAGCACTGCTGCAGATCTGCGGACCGCTTTGCGGAAGGTGAGGCAGGAGCGGATACCCAGTGGACACAAGTGGGAATAACTGTTCTGCATGTCTGAGGTGGGGCAAACTGCTCCTGTGGGATTCCCCAAGTGTAGATGGTGATTTTCTGTGAATGTCTGCATGAAGCAGGGTAGCATAGGAGGAGCTCGTTAGGTAAAAGCTGAGGCTTTTACCACCAGAGGGTGATGCCTGCCCCCTTAGCAAACGTCCAGGGACGGCAATAGCCTATGGAGCTGCTGCCAGCTCCCCACTCCCCGTTAAACTACACTGTCAGTCCCAGTGTTCATATGACCCCTGCTGAGGCTTCCTAGCCATGAGCCCCACTGCTTCCCTCACAAAGTGGAGATGAATAAGAATGAAGTAAGGAACAGGTTGTGAGAAAGCCCTGCTTTGGGCCAGCAGGGAGCATTAGAAGCAACGTGAGTCAGGACCTAGAGTTCAGTAAGGGAGAGTCGCAGAGTCCAAAAGCAGCTTGCAGTCAGCACGCATGCAGGTCAATTGTCCCTCAAACACTACTGAAGTACTGTTTTGTGGACAGGGAGTAGGAAACATAGTGATAAACAAGGTGCTCAGCAGGTGCACATCTCATCTGCAAAGCTGCAGGCATTTAACTTCACTGTGTCTTCTGGACTGTGCACAGCTGAGCCCTTTGCACCCAGAATAGGAAATGTGAGCTAGAAAACTCAGCAAAATACCCCTCTGGCTCAACAAATGTTTTTTCTCCAAGAAACAAAGTTTTACACAATATATAGACAATTAAGCTGGGGAATAAATAAGCCCATCAAGCTCAGGAATAAAAGCCCTCAGAAAGAATGGAAAACAAATAAGTTAGATCACTTACGTAAGAGAAGAAATGCTGTAGGTGCCGATATCCAGCTTGTTAGTAAGGTCATTATGAAGTTGTGACAACAGAGTGGTTTCGCCCAAGTTTTCATGAATTTTGCTCTTCTGCAGTGTCTGGGAAAAAAAAACAACCTAAAGCAGGTCACATGATTATTGAGAAACTACAGTCACATCCTGAGTAGTTAGATTTGCAAACAGAAGTTGCCTTTTTTGGGTTTAAGCTCAATACATAAACAAACTTGAAAGTGTTTTGTGGAGAAGGTGGACAGCCAACAGCACAGCCTAGTTCAACTGTTTTGCTGTCTAAGGGACATTTAAACACTAACAGTTCTTTTTGCATATTGCAAGTCCTACCACAGAGAATTTGTTTCTGCTGAAATCTTCTAAATCTGTGGATAACCAAGTGGATTTTCTGTCTTAGAAGAAGTTTTCTGAGGCATTGTCTTTCTTTATTGCTATTCTTCTTATGAACTCAACTTGAATGCTACCATGTTTTCAGTAGAACACTTATTTGAATATTCCCTTTTCATGATCAGCTTTTTCAGGAGTAGAGAATCAGCACACTATGGCTGCTAAACTATTGCATAACAGTTCCCAGAGAGTAACTTCTAAGAAAAATGTCTTGATGTCCCTGTCTTATTTTGCTGTGGGAAGCATTGGTACAACTGACTGAGTGTGGCAGATGCCATAGAAAGTATTTGTTACTGCTTTGACTGGTAGTGTTGGTGTGCACACAGGTGTGTGTGTGTGTGTGTGTGTGTGTGCAGTTCATTTTTGCTCTTTCTCTGCTCCTGGTTCTCTATGGGATCAGAGCTGGAAACACCAAAACCAAGCAAACAAAAATCTCTACACCAGCTGGATGGGAAAGATCAGGATCCTTGTAAGAAACCTCCTGTGTTTTTGTACTTCATGTTTCATCTGCAAATGATCCCATGCTTCAAGATTCCTGAAAACTTCTTCTAGAAATAATAACAGGAATGTCAGCTTGCTTGTTTTGGGGTTTGGTGGTTGGGGGTTTTTTTTTATTTGGGGGTGTCTTTGCTTTATTTTGCTTTGGTCGGTTTTTGTTGCTTCTGATGGCCCAAATCAGCAGTCTCAAGTAGTTTTAGTATTTCAGAGGAGGAACTAAGCATCTCAGTATTTGGGTGAAATCTCTAAAGCTATTTGCTTTATTCCACTGCTGCTTTTCAATGAATGCTTAGCTAGGTGACTGCACACAGCTGACTGTATAAGCTTCACTGTTCTTGTTCACAGCATACCTGCAGCAAGGAAAAGCACTGACCAGAATAAGACAGACTTAAGATAATCCTGCTTTGTAATAGGTTTATTCTGATTCTTGACCAAATTGGGAAATGCGGTTTCAAGCACCGTCATCATTATCAGCCTTCCCTCTGTTCTTCACCATCCAGCCAGTGGGCAGGATATATATGTTTAATTAATTCTGCTTTTACCTTCGACCTGTAAATAGTGGGAGTAATGTCAGATTTATACGTTACATGAATAACAAGGATTTCTCAGGAGACCCTGTCTTGGTGAAAGAGGCTAACTGTAATTTTCAGCTGTGAGTAATTGTATATAATATAATCCTAAATGATTTTTCTTCTGTAATTTCATTAGAGTTTAGAAATTTAATTAGATTTTGAATCACTCTGAAATAAAGTAGCAAAACACCCAGAGACTAAGTGCAGTGGTTATTTTGTCCTCCGAGGCCAGAATTCTTGGTCTCAAATTGGCATGTGTTCATTAGGAGGAAGTTTGCAGAAGTTCTTGATATATTATTGTCTTTCAGAACGGACTCTGAATAGGTCTTTGGAGAGCATTAGAAGAGCACACAATTATTATACAGACTCTTTTTGAGGTTTAAGATCATCTGCCTTTCATATACTTAATAAAAATACGCCTCTAAAGTTGTTTAAGAAACTGTGGAGATAGGAAAGATGCTACTCCAGTGCCTCAGTGCTCTTCCTGGTTTATTAGCAACTCCAGTACCTGTGTATGATGATACAGAGAGGAGCTGTTTGCCTTACTTTAATGATTAGGTAGGTTTATGGTTATTTTTATTGCTACACATATGAACTGTCATGGTGGCTGTAATTAGAGACACACTAAAATGCTGTTCCTTCTATTCCATCTGAGGTTCAAAAGAAATCTGTCCTGGCCAACTTTGATTCTCTGTGCAATTCATTCTGTGGGCAAAAAGTGGACTCAGATGGCAGTGAAAAACATGAAGCAAAGACCAGTGCAACAGCTTATGATAGCATGGGATGCCAAGGTAGTTGTGGGTTTAAAAAGGAGATTCTCTTAAAAAATGAAAAAAACAAATGTTGTGAAATGAAGAATTTCAGCAGGACAAATCAGACAGACAAATATACAAAAGCTCTCTCAATAACAACAAGATAACTTATTTGAAAAGAAAGTAGTAGGTCCAGTGCAATGGGATGCAGTCCAAAAGTGAAAAATCAAAAAGAAGCACCCTATATAAGCAGAATATTCTGTTACAGACTGACCCATGCAAACATTGCTGGCTGACTCACGTCAACATCTTGTTGACAGGATTCTAGCATCCTCTGTGTTTGCCACTTCAGCTAGACAGGAGTGAAACAGTTCCTTGATCTGATCCAAGGGGTCATTTCCTTTGTTTCATTAACAGCTCTTGATGAAATCTCATCATCACACAGATCCAATCTTCAGGCTCAAATGTATGCTTCAGAGTGTGGCCAAATAAATCTTGAGTCCAGTTGAAAAAGGTTGAAAGATTTTGTGCACTTTGCTTGATGGATACTGTGGTGATTAGACAACCTCAGGCAGCCTGGTGTGTGTGGATATGCTGCCTTCCATC